AATCTTCTCCGTAAGTTTAACAGTCTGATACAGCGATAAGTTTTTACCATAAATGTTTAACTTTCGGAGAAAAGGCAATTTTTTTTTTCAGTTTTCTTCTTTCGGATTTGTTTCATTTGACCGGCATGTGTTTTCTTGTCACCGATACTCCTAGGAGGCCTTCATCAATCGCAAAGGGGGCGCTGCTTGAGATAGTAACATTACAAACAGTAGAGTGGTATTGATATGCGTGTTAGTGACAAATATGCGAGAATGGAGTACGAAGACAGGTAGTAAATTGGATAACACGTCATGATTTGAAGGACTGGGAAACAGTGAAAATGTGAAGTTCAATTCCCTTCCGGCCTAATTATCAATTGCAAAAAAGGATCCGTTTACGTTACTTGTAGTATCTACTGACCTTGAGAAAGGCTGCGTCTAGTAGCACCAAACTTTAATAAGGAAATTATGAAGCTTGCTCGTGAACTTAGCAAGTGATGAGATACATTGCCTTACGTCTTAAAATCTGAGAGTTGCTTTCAATTCCGTGGCGGAGAAAACCAATCCATCTATTTATGTTTTAACTATGAGTTAGGACTAGTACACACCTCGTAGCCACAAACAGCTATTAGCTAACTTGCAAACAACCTTATAAAAAGGAAAACATCAATATCCTTGGCAGCGTGAGGTTGTTGTTGGCATTTTGCAACCATTTGGGCTACTTTCAAATGTTGCAACTCTCATAGAAAATGAAATATGGAGAGAAGTTCCGATTTGTTTTATGAGACTGGCTTCAGCTTACTTTTAAAGAAATCCTCGAAACAATGAACTATCGACAGGCTTGTTAGTAAGAAGTTGCTGTAAGCAAGCACTACCACTGAAACTATATCTGTGTGCCGCTATTTCAAAAGAGTGAACTCATTCTGAGCTCCTTATGTCTTCGTATTCTAAAGCAGACATTAAAGAGGATTCCGAGTTCTTGGTGTTTTCATCTCACAAAATGAGTGAACTCTTTGGGGGATTCTAAGCTTCACACACCTCTACTCCTTTAAAATGAGTGAAATTGATCAAAATCAGCTTGGCATTTAATTAGAAATTATTACAGACCATCCAAAAACGAAAGCATTCATAACGCATGCTGGTTTGAATAGCCTCACGGAAGCAGCATTTGCTGGAACACCACTCATTTGCGTACCGATGTTCGCTGACCAGCATTACAATACAGCTATTTCGCTGAGGAAAAAAACCGGTGTTTATCTGAACAAAAAGCATATCAACCTGGAAACTGTGACAGATGCGCTTCAGAAAGTACTCAATGATCCAAGGTCTGTTTTGATCCTCAACGAAACCCATTTCGGGGGATAAATTTTGCGTAACAAGCGCTTATCATTACGCAAAACATTTCTTCGAGGACCAAAAAAGCTGGCCATTATTTCCACAGACACTACTCATTGACATAATTGCTGAAATAACCGTCGTCTACAGTACTTACTGAAATAGCCACTAGTTCATCACTGATTCATATTCGCAGACTGCTCCAAAAGTGTATTCGATAGCCATGCTATCAACTTCGGTTCTGAGCTCTAGGCATCCATAGAATATCAAACGTTCGAGTTATGAGATCGATCTAGTGCTTCAGCAGCTTTTCATGTCGTAGATACCAACCGATATTTGTTTCGTCCATCTGTTCTCTGTCATCTTTACCAAACGACCAACCCTGTTTCTTTTCCAAGCATACATTTCCTACATCTTTCACACCAGATGGGTGATAGCAAAATACCATTGCTAATATATTGTAATCTGCCGATACCCAACATTCTTCTCTCCACTAATTATTGCGTTACTGCTACCCTGCTTCCTTTTACGAGTGTGGAACCCACGTCTTGCGGGGTTAATATGCGGCAAATTTTACCTTTCCGTGTTTTTGCAACATCTTCTATTGAGATATTCTCACACATCAGATGTAGTTACGCTAGGCTCCACGTTTTTTGTGTTACATATCCTTATTTAATATGGACTTGCATATTGGTTTTGAGTTTTTAAAAAAAAAAAAAAAAAAAAACTAGAATACAAGATGTATTGATTTTATAGTTACTTAGAAGCAGCTAAGCAGCTCCAGCAACAGTTGCTCCATTATCCGCACAACGTCACGCAGCTCTTCCTGGATTGGATCCAATACGCAGCTGAATTTGGCAGATCGCTTGATTCCAACTTGTACGGAGCTCATCTCAGCACAATTGCTTATTTCTCAATTGACGTCATCGCATTTATTGTATTTTCACTCTGCTGTTTTAGTGCCATTATTATTTTAATTTTATGCTGTGCCTTCCAAAAAACACGGAATTTTATCCAGAAATTGAAAAGTGAATAAAACGATAGAATGAATTACTGCATTCCATCCATACGGATCTTAT